GTTGTGATTAACTTTCTTGCGTTGCAGTTCATATTTCCAATACTTCAAGTTGGTCACTACTACGTTATTGTAGTGGATTTTAGACGCATGCGTTTCGATGTGTTAGATAACTCTTCTGTTGGTGGCCTCTCACTAGACAAATATCTTCACATACCTGACCTGCTGGTATGCTTGATTAACAATTTGGTTCTAATTGTACATTTAATATACACATGTCTAGTCAAAACCACCAGTGTGTAGACACATGTATTATTTATTAACACAATGTCATTTATGTAGCATGAGTTTTTTACCGTTTTCCTGGAGGATGTGGAGGCCACAGATCAGTTTATGAAGGTCACTACGTTCATACCTCGTAGGGTTCGCCTATCATGTCGCGATGCGAAGAACAAAGTAGATTGCGGTGTGTTCGCGATGCGACACATGGAGTCTTATGCTGGACAGCCCTATGCGTCATGGGATTGTGGTCTTTGCGGGGGTGACGCACGTGCATTGCTTGCTTTACGCAAACGCTATATGTCCGAAATCCTTCTGTTTCAGAACAACACCCATCGTCGAACGAATTTCAACTCCGCCATGAGATCAATTGTTCCGTCTCGTTGAACACCTCTATTATATACATTGCGTTTATTATTACATCTCTAACTTTATGTATTGTTTTGGTATTTCTGTTAGGATTTGGAATAGACCAGATTTCTGTTTTGGTATTTCTGTTATGCGTATGTGCATACATATACATTGTGTCTGCATTTTACTATATAGTATGTGCGAATACGAGCTATGTGCAGTAGCATATTAAATAGCATGTGCATTTTCATATTACGATGCGTATATAGTAAAATGCATAATTTTATGTCAGTGCATATTAATGGATAAGTGCGTATCAGCTTCAATGTTAGTGCATTTACTAGATAAAAGGTTACTTTAACTTATGTTAGTGCGTATCATATATATGTTACTATATTTTTATTGCGTCGTTTGTGCGTTTAAATGTTAGTGTCTGTGCGAGTTGCCTTGTATTATATTTTTATTGCATTCTTAGCAAGTGCATATCATGTGCATTTTCATATTACGGTACTCGGCAGTCCAGATCAATTGCATTAGGTTAGATAAGTTTATTGCATTTACTGGCAAGTGCATAGTCAATCTTATGTTACTAGCAACTTTATGTATTGTTTTGGTATTTCTGTTATGATTTGGAATAGACCAGATTTCCATTACAAATATTATACGTATTTCCATTATATTATTTTTGTGATTTGATCAGTGCATAGTAGACCAACGACATTTCATACATATAAACGCACTAACTACGTTAATGCACCAAAGAAAAGATTAATTTAACGGTGCATCGACTGCTTGAAACAAACGCACAATTTGTTTGTACTAAATCTGCCACCCAATCATATGACTAATATGTTGTCAACAATCATAACCGTATTACGCAGCCAATTTATACTTCCTTCGCACATGACATTTTCGTTACGCATATAAGCACGTACATATCGACTACAACGCATTCCATACATGCAATCTATGCGTACTAACGCATATTTGGTAGCGGAGCAGTCCAGACATTTGTGTTATACATTTGTTTTACTACATCATAAAAAATCAGGCATTAAAAAAAGTCAGCACATCACAACTTCTAAGTCCTAATCAGGTAAATCCAGATGGGAAATACGGAACTGCCAACTATAAAATGGGAATGCTGGGAAAAAAGCTTAATGCCTACAGACTTGGTCAAACAAGATATGCATATTATAAAAGCTTCCCTGGTAACATTTTCCTCAAAAAAATGGGAATGCTGGATAAAAACATACAAAAAGGTGCACGAGTTTCAGAATAAACGATCTCACAAAAAACTTCCAGAATTGCATGCTATAGCTAATAACACGTCTACTTCTGCGGGCAGCTTCTACTGTTATGCCCATCTGCCATGCCACAAGTTTTGCACGTGCGCTTCTTCCTGTTTTGCTCCTTCATTGCCAGCTCTTTAGCAGACCTCATCCGTTTACCCGACCCTTTGTTGCTTGTCACCGGTGGTTGGTGCACAGTAATCGTCTCAGGTGCGGGTACGCCACAGTAAGACTCCATGAAGGAGCAAATGTTTATGTTACAATGCACACTTTAAAACTAATAATCACACTGGTCACCAGTTGCCCCCGCCTCCTTCTCCAAATTACGTACAGTTGCACAGATGTTTATGTTACATTGCACACTTTAGAAGTAATAAACACACCGGTCCGCAATTGCCTCACCCCAAATTGCAATTGGACATATGTTTATGTTACATTGCGCACTTTAATTTAGAAGTAATAACCACACCTTGCAGTAGCACAAATGTTTATGTTACAATGCACACTTTAGAACTAATAATCACATCGGTCACCAGTTAACCCCCCACCCCACCCAATTGAAGTTGAACATATGTTTATGTTACATTGCACACTTTAGAAGTAATAAACACACAGGTCACCAGTTGCCGCACCCAAAATTGAGTTGCACGGATTTTAATGTTACATTGCACAATTTAGAAGAAATAAACACACCGGCCACCGGTTGCAGCTCACCCCGCACCCTCCACTCTTCCCAGGTGACAACTAACGACCGACACCAAAAGGCTTGATTAGTCGACACAAAAAAAAAAAAAAAAAAACAAAAACAAAAAAGGGGAAAAAATGGCACACAAAAACATTCGAAAAAAAAAAAAGACACCCCCAAACCCCTACCTGAGCTAGCGACTCCCGTGTTTTCGAGACAACTATGAAACGTTGCGCACTGCCCATTTCACCAGCACAGAACGATGGGCGGTGAAGAGGCAAGAAACGCGTAGGGAATACCCGGTAGCAACTGCGCAAATAGGATGGCAAATCACAAACTTAGGCACGAATAATCAAGAGAGATATGTCACTTAAATTGAATCCCCCCAAAACCGGAAAACCTTTATACTTATAATCCCTAAAATACCACTAACACAATAAAACTCCCCCAAACCCATACATAAAATTAGCGACAAAAATTACACCAAATCCTTTTTTTTAGACCATTTTTCTCTAGCTTTAATGGAACAGATCTATCTACACGAACTCATGAGAAAAGGGTGGACTCATATGATCATGGGTCTATGTCTATATAGACTAGTGATCAAATGAGTCCATCCTGTAATATGAGTCCGTGTGAACAGATCTGGGCCATTGAATGCTTGAGATCAATGACTTAGATTTCGCCAACTGTGCAACGCGAACTGTGCAAGTGAGTATGTTGTTTTTCTAAATTTGTTTTACAAATTTACATATTTATTGCATTATATAAATGTTACTGTTATATAAATACTTACATATTTTACAAATGTGGGTGTAGTTAGGCGACACACACCCTAAAAATAGGGTGGGATTGCAACTTGATTTGGCTCCATGTGAGTGTGGATTATATATACACTACTAGAAATTATGAAATTTTTCGACCACCTGAAAGTGATTTTAAATCAAGTTGAAAGTTTTGTTCCGACCACTTTTGGTATCCGAAAACTTTTGTTGCTATTTTCGACCACTTTTTACTTTCAACTTGATTTAAGATCACTTTTAAGTGATCGAAAATTCCATAATTTTCAGTAGTGATATAAGACGATAATAATAGTCTTTTCTAGTTTTATGAAAGACTTTGAGTTTGAGGTCCTAAACACGAATAATATTAGATTTGATACGTAATTTTTGTTGACGGGTTAAGGAAATTTATGGACATACAAAATTAAATAAATAAAAGTCACTTTTCCATAGTTTCTTCCATTAGATCCAATGAGTCTAATCCAAAGGAACTTACAAAAACTTAGGGCAAACAACCCCACATAAGCCATGATATCAGCAAAGATCATTGGGTGCAGTGGGGAATCAAACTAACTTATGTAAATCTCACTATCACGACCTTCTTTTTTTTTTTTTTTTTTTTGTTAATTTTGAAATTTTAACTAGAAATGTAAGAATTTAACTGAGCACTTGACTACTTGAGTGAGTGGACCTTATAATTTACTGCAACATTTTATGATAACTGTTCTAATCTTATTGTTCGACCAAAAGGGCCTTAGTCAATAGTCAGTTGATTGATTCGTATAGCAACATATTTATTAAAAACTAAGGCCGCAATTTATATTGCAGACCAGGGTCCACATAACATTGTGGACCCTAGATCGATCAAAACGACGTTGTTTTCATATTTAAGCTTTAAAAAATTCTGTTGTTTCTTGTTTCTCATGTTTTAACACAAATTTTAATTTATTCTAGATACATAATCAATACTCTTAAGGTACAGAATTTCATAACACTAGACACAAAAATTTACAACACAAGACACATACAAATGGCCTCCACTGAGGCTCGAACTTACAACCTTCCGAATGGAAGTCCAACCCGGGTACCATTAGACCACATAGTCCTAGTAAATGTTATATATTTACTTATTCTCAAATCTGATTTATGTAGATAACATATTTCCCAAGGTTTCATAATACAAGACATAAATTCCTAATATAAGACGCACAATATGTTGTATGTTACACAACCACTAATCTATTTCAAATACAAAATTCATACGTTTAAGGTACAGAATTGCATAACATCAGACAAAGAAACACAATACACAAGACACATACACATGTTTTATGTTAAGGTACAAAATCAATATTCTTAAGGTACATAATTGCATAACATAAGACACAAAAGTGCATAACACAAGATACAAAAACGCATAGCACAAGACACAAAAGAGCATGCTATATTTACTTTATTTCAAGTACAGAATCCATATGCTTAAAATACAGACTTGCATAATATGAGACACAGAAACGTATAACACAAGATACATACACATGCTTTACAGTAAAAAAAAATATATATTGTAAATTGAACAACAAACGATCGCTGTAAAAATGAAAATTTAAAATTATGTCGTTTAAGATTAGGGCCCACGTACAGTGCACTGTGAATTCTGGTCCACAGTATGAGTATTGAAAATAGGCCATATAATGAAATGGGCTGATGAAATTGATTGAAGAAAACTACAAGTCAAGATTACAATGCAAGTTACAAAGCCCATGAACTCAATGCAGGAGGTCTAAAGCAGCATAGTATCCAATCAATACAGGAAGAGAAACAATTGTGCCTATGATAACTCTGCAATAAAATTAAAATTAATTAAAATACATTTAATTAATCTGTTCCTCATTTTGCCACACACACACACACACATATATATATATATTGGAAACGTAACTTACGCGGTGCTAATAACATCAGCGTGTAATCCATATTCGTTCCCATAGACGAACGCCGTGGTTGATTGAGGGAGTGCTGCCTGCAGTGCCATGTAACCGACATATATATAAGTTATACTAATAATTCATTAATTAACAAAATTCAACTTGATTTAATTAAAAAAGAAAAATGGGGTATAAAAAGTACAAGTGACGATTGACATTCTAAAATTTTTCTATGTTGTATAGTATCGTAAATAGAATATAAGTGTAACAATAATGCTAGTTAGTCACACTCTGAATGAAGTCCTCATTGTGACTAGTGACCCAAGCTAACAAAGAACTATAAAGATGTAAGTCCACTTAGATTACATATAAGTGACCGGCTCAGACTAAGAAGACTAATATGCAGTTCTGGACCTACAAAGAGTCGAATTTAGAACATTATAATTACTACGTCAACAGTCCAACTAACTCGGCTAGAGTTGTCCTCAAGCGCTGGTTAGTCTAAATGTTGGACAATGCAACTTTAAGAATTAGGGTTCTTATTCAAAGAGCGGATATATATATATATATATATATATATATATATATATATATATATATATATATATAATACGGTTCAAATGCGGATGGTGTGATCTGGTGCGAACGTAGGTTAGATGAGCCATTGATCTTGTCAAGATCAACGTCCATGATTAACAAAGATTAAAAACAAAACATGGTGACAATTTAGTCTTTTTACATCTAGGTCAAATTTAAGGTGCGTGGTTTTCCTTCTTAAGGTATGTGATTTATGTGCTTAAGGTGCGTCAGTTGTTGAAACTTAATGTGTGTCAGCCTAAAGCTTTAGGTGCGTGGTTGTCCTTCTTAATGTGTGTTGTTTTCCTTCTTAACTTGCGTTGTTTTCCTTCTTAAGATGCTTTGTTTTCCTTCTTAAGGTGCTTTGTTTTACCTCTTAAGGTGTGTTGTTTTCATTCTTAAGGTGCGTTGTTTTCCTTCTTAAGGTGCGTTATCATTAGGTGCACCAATGTTAACAAGGTAAATTACTTGCACTATTTAATGAAAATTGTTGCATTGTACTTGTAAGTGATTTTACGTGCACTTTTTAATTACAAACTTGCACTAGTTACTTGCACTTTTAACACATTTTACTTGCACCAAAGTTCAAGTTATTTACGAAAATATCACCGTTTTTTAAAATTACATTTGATTCGTTAAATTAGGACACGTGGACGGCTGCTATTTGTTCTTAGTTCTTTCCTAGACACACGTTCTCACCTGAGCGCGCCCAAATATATATACGTGTGTGTGTGTGTGTGTGTGTGTGCGCGCCTTCCCGTGCAGTCAGTGCAGCCACACCAATAATTTTGCAAATATACACCATCAGTGTTAGGAAATGCACAACAAAAAATGCACAAATTAGGTACGCATTACAAAAAACACACCATTAGGTATGAATGGAAGCACCACACAGTGTTCAGAAATGCACCATTAGTGTGTATTTCTGGGTGTGTCGTATATTTTTGGTGTATTTTTGCATTTCATTATTGCGTATTTTCCTACACTATTAGTGCCTTTTGTTAAAACTATTGGTGTATTTTTCAAACGGTTGCACGGGCGGGCGCGGCTGCATTTGAGCAAACTTATATATATATATATATATATATATATATATATATATATATATATATATATATATATATATATATATATATATATATATATAGTAGGGATTCAATGAGAACACTTGCTTAGGTGAAAATGTGAGAAGAAATTGTGTGCATCCATCTAATATTTTGTAATGGTCTAGATTAGATTAAGTGTGTGCGAACGCGAATTAAATGTATGTAAACACACTTAATCGCGTTTGCACACATTTAATTCGCGTTCGCACACACTAAATCTAATGTAGACCATTAAAAAATATTAGATGGATGCACATGATTTGTTCTCACGTTCTCACCTAAGCAAGTGTTTTCATATGATCCTATATATATATATATATATATATATATATATATATATATATATATATATATATATATATATATATATATATATAGAATTTGGTTCTGGTGCGGTTGGCAGCCCCAGGTGCGGTTGTGCGGTGAGAGGAGAGCCATTGATTTTGTTTAGATCAACGTCCAGGATTACAGAATTTTATTTTTTAAAAAAAATAGCGGTGGCAATTTGGTAATTTTTGTAACTAGGTCAAATTTAAGGTGCGTGAGTTTTGTGCTTAATGTGCGTGGGTTTTGTGCTTAAGTTGCATGAGTTTTGTACTTAATGTGCGTTGTGTTTCTTCTTCGCGCACCTTCTCTGTGAGTCACGGGTAGTTCAGACCCTCAATAAGAAGAAAACTTTTGAATTGATGGGTGGTTCAGACCTTCAAGAAGAACAAAACTTTTGAACTGATGGGTGGTTCAGACCTTCAAGAAGAACAAAACTTTTGAACTGATGGGTGGTTCAGATCCTCAAGAAGAACAAAACTTTTGAACTGATGCATGGGTGGTTCAGACCCACAAGAACAAAACTTTTGAACAAAACTAATTAAGGTTCGTGAGTTTTGTGCTTAATGTGTGTCATGTTTCTTATTCGCGCAAATTCTCCGTGAGACAAAACTTTTGATCTAATGGGTGGTTTAGACCCTCAAGAAGAACAAAACTTTTGATCTAATGGGTGGTTTAGACCCTCAAGAAGAACAAAACTTTTGAACTGATTGGTGGTTTAGCTAGACCTTCAAGAAGAACAAAATTTTTGAACTGATGGGTGGTTCAGACCCACAAGAACAAAACTTAAGGTGCGTGAGTTTTGTTCTTAAGGTGCGTGAGTTGTGTGCTTAACGTGCGTGAGTTTTGTGCTTAATGTGCATCGTGTTTCTTCTTCGCGCACTTTCTCTGTGAGACAAAACTTTGAACTGATGGGTGGTTCAAACCCGCAAGAACAAAACTTTTGAATAAAACTTTGTTCTAGACAAGCGTTTTTTTTAATGCTTAAGGGTGCGTCAACCGCACAACTGCACGGGAAGCTTTTACAGCACTTGAACCCTTTCCCACACACACACACACACACACACACACACACACACACACACACACACACACACACACACACACACACACACACACACACACACACACACACACACACACACACACACACACACACACACACACATATATATATATATATATATATATATATATATATATATATATATATATAGGGTTGCATTCAAATACAAACCCCCTTAAAATACAAACTTGAGATCGTGCACATATTAACATACTTACATGCACACAAGGCGCACTGCAAACAATTTATGGTATTAGCTCGTCACACATTAACATATACTTACATGCACACATCGCGTAGGAGGAAAAAACACAACCATTCATCAAAGCTCGTGCACATATTAACATATTTACATGCACACAACGGGTAAGACGAAAAAATCACAACCATCCATCAAAGCTCGTGCACACATTAACATACTTACATGCACACTAGGCACACTACCAACAATATATGGGATTAGCCCGTGCACACATTAACATACTTACATGCACATAATTTGTATTTTAAAGGGGGTTTGTACTTTAAGGAGGGTTTGTATTTGAAAATAATCATATATATATATATATATATATATATATATATATATATATATATATATATATATATATATATATATATATAAAAGTTATTAGAAAGTAACAGTATGAGATTGGAACAATAACAATTAGAGCACGCAAGGAGGGTGTGTTACCTGGACTATGGCAATCTTGAAGACATCACCATGAAGGCGTAAGAGCATAGCACCAAGTGCAGATGTTGCAGGACCGATTACAAACCTCAACACCAAACCATATATCGTCAAACCGGTACCACAAGATATAATCTTCTCTTGCAATGCCATGAATAATCCTGCTTATAATAAATATATTTTTTATTAATAATTTTGGTTTTTTTTTTTAAATATATAACTTTGTTTAGAGTAGTGAATATTTAAATGATAGAAATTAAAATATAAAAAGTTTTTCACTCAAATATAATATATTCAATCGCAATTGGAAATTTTGATATTATTGACCACTTTCTTTTTTTTTTTTCGTTGACTAAAAATAATATATATTGAAATTAATAAAATATATAACTTTCATTCCCATGGCCTCATGTAGTTGGAAAAGTTGGAAACCTTTAATAAAGTCTACTCTATATTGAAAACTTTTGCTTACATGCATGAGAGAAATTAAAAAGTATTTAGTTCAAATATATTCCATAATGCAGTGTATATATATATATATATATATATATATATATATATATATATATATATATATATATATTGAGTACTACTGACTCTGTTACAATGTAGTATCAGTTTATATCTACTTTCTTAACCTACGGAACCACAATGAGTTAATATTACCCATTTACCCCCCAATGAGACTCAAACACATGACCTTCCACTATTATTGATAATTTTATTGTGACCGAGGGTCCACCATAAATAAGGTACAAACGTACAAAACAGTAAGAAAATAGCACGGAATGGCGGCCCAAACACACTAAATAAGGCCCAAGGGATGGGCAATAGCTAACTATGCTACTAATAAGAATCGAACCTAAACAAGAAGGTTGAAAGTGGAAGACCAAGACCACTATAGATATAGCGCTTGTAGTGCTTGGACCCTGTCCCCGATTAAGAAGCCAGACCCCCTATTGATAGTGAAACCACCCCCCTTCTTGTACCTTCCATGTGTACGTTCCCCGATTAACTTCGTCCACAATCCCACGTGTCCCACGTCTCACACCCCACGCCACCATTATGCACACATGCACCACCCCTCACCACGCACCTGCACCACCCCCCTCCTCACGCCACATCTCACGATGAGGGGGTACGAGGAGGGTGCCAAGCGACGCACCAGGTGCATCGGCCACGCCTCAGCCCACCGGGGCCAACGCTGGCAGCTTGCGGCCGACCCAGCGCAACAGCTCCTGCAGTGGGGGCGCGACTGCCGTGCAGGGTAGCGCTCGTGGTGCACAGTCCACGTCGTCATCGGCCGCCCAAGCGCCCCAGTCAGTACCCTCACCCAACCGGCCGCACGGGGCCGGTGGCACCCCTTCCTGGCTAACCCGCTTTCATCCTCTTAGCCCACTTCAATCAATCCCCTTACCTATCATATTCCGACTCAATACCACAAGTCCAAGAAAGCCATAGCCCATAATCCATATCCCCATCATTCATATATATATATATATATATATATATATATATTAGTGAAATTTCTAACTTTTTTAACCACAGCCTCATTTGGTCAGAAAAGTTGGAAACTTTTTTTTTTTTAATGAGAAAATGAAGAAAATGAAAACTTGGTAGAAACATAGATTAACGGTCATGATTGACAACAAATTTTTGAACAATTATTATAGCCTATTTTAAAAAGAGTAAATACCCAAAATGGTCCATCGACTATAGCTAAATCCACAAATTGGTCCTCGACTTTTAATTTCAACCAATTAAGTCCTTAACTTTGCAATTTTAACAGAATTTGGTCCTTTGTCTATTTGACCGTTTGTTGACTGTTGTTACCTCCAAGAGTGTTTTCTAAGTTGAACCGGCTCTTGATCCCAAGCAGCAAGCGGAGAAGCACTTCCCCCTCCAAAACAACGATGTCACCTCCAAGAGCGTTCTCTTGAGCATTGCACGTGAAATACATATATATCCTCAAAGATCGCGGTCAACAAACGGTCAAATAGATGGAGGACGAAATCGTGTCAAAATTGCAAAGTTAAGGACTTAATTGGTTGAAATTGAAAGTCGAGGACCAATTTGTGAATTTAGCTATAGTCGAGGGACCATTTTGGGTATTTACTCTTTTAAAAATGACTACTAGTAAGAGATGGGAAATCAAAGAAACACGTATAGTATTACGTTTAATTGATCAAACTTTTTGATAACTTTTATTGGTTGTTAATAAATTATCAGTCAGTTCCATTTTATCGATCCATAATCTTAATAATAATAATGAAGACATCTGACCACTTTTCAATACCATAGTTAAAGTCACAAATTTTCTAGTGTACCCGTCAACAATTTAAAAATTTTTGTGTTTTTGAATTGTAAAAGATTTATACAAACATAATTTAATAATTATTTAAGGTCACAACCCACAAACTCATACCCATATTGAACATGGCAACTCCACTCCCAGCCTTTGCCAAGATCAAAATAGACTGATCCACTATGCCAGGCATCTTAAAATGCCACCTGCAAAAAAGTATAGTTTATTATATATATGAGATATTCTTTCGGAATATAGTTCAACTAGTCAACTAAACCAAAAGAGGTTTATAAGTTTAAGAGTTAATCTCATCAGATGCCTTTTGTCTTTGGTGTCAATTCTAAATTTAGTTTCAGACTATTATTTTTTGCACAACTACTGACTCTATTACATTGTAGTATAACCAATTGAAGCACAAAGAGACTACTAGCTCTATTACATTGTAGTATTTGTTCATTTATACTTTCTCAACTTGTTGAAGCAAAAGAGTCAACATCGTCTCCATTGAGGCTCAATCTCATGACCTCGCATATGTGAGAGTCACTACATGTCATATGAGCCCAAGATGCTTGGCATCTTAAACCAATTAAACTGGTTGAAATCGAAAAAATAACAAAAGAAAAATATGAAGAGACAAAAATACCCCTACTAAAAATAAAAAATATCATAAGAAGGAATAAAAGTGTCCAAAAATAATAATCTTAGATGTTAAATGGAAAAAACAATAGTCTGAGACTAAATTTGAAATTGACACAAAAAAATAGGACCTATTTTGTAATTAACTCTAAATTTAATTACAAGGTTCAATTTTTGTTAGTGACTAAAATAATAAGGTATGAATTTTATATTATTGTCCCAGGGTTGCAAAAATTAGAATTAGACGCTAGGCGGCGCCATGTCACGTCGAGGAAGGCCAGAATTGACCTCTTCCGTGATCGGCCGCCTGGGCGGTCTAGGCGGCCGGCCGAATCGTCTCAACCTTTTCTTCTTTTTTGTTTTCGTGAAGAAATGAAGAATTGCGATTTCAGAAGTTCAGATTCTGGCTATGCGCTGAAGCAGTCCGCCCCACGCCCACGCCCCTCCGCCTCCGAGATTGGTAGATGGCAGATGGAGGTAGTACACCGTTAATGTTACGTTGTGGACTAAAAATGGGGAGATTTTGCTTGGATTTGTGTTGGGAGATGGAGTACAGTGTTAATGACAGCTTGAATCTAGGGTCCGTTTGGAAAGCAGGAAAATGACTTCTGGAAAATATTTTCTGGAAAATGAGTCATTTTCCGGAAAACATTTTCCTTTCCAGTGTTTGGTTGCATTATGGAAAACTGTTTTTCTGTGTTTGGTTCATTTTCTGGAAAATGAGTAGAATTGTATAATTAAACATTTTAATTATTTTATTTAGAATATTGCAACATGTATAATAATATATAATAATATAATATTAATTTTAAATATAATAAAAAATAGCTAAGTTTTTCAAAAAAAAAAAATTAATAATATATCAAAAATATTATGGTGGTGGTGGTGGTGTAGTGGTAGTGGTGTTATTCGTTATATAATAATAATAATAATAATAATAATAATAATAATAATAATAATAATAATAATAATAATTGGTGGTGGTATGACGGTGGTGGTGTGGTGGCGGTGGTGGTTGCGGTGGTACGGTCGTGGTGGTGGCGGTGGTTGCGGTGGTATGGTGGTGGTAGCGGCAACGGTGGTTGTGGTAGTATGCTAGTGGTGGCGGCGGCGGCGGTAGTGGTGTTGGTGTGATGGTGGTGGTAGTATGACGGTGGTGGCAGTGGTCGTGTGGTTGCGGTGGTGGTGGTGGTGGTGGCGGTGACGGTGGTTGCGGTGGTATGGTAGTGGTGGTGGCGGCGGTGCTTGCGGTGGTATGGTGGTGGTGGTGGTGGCGGCGGCGGCGGCGGTGTGATGGCGGTGGTGTGGTGGTGGTGGCGGTGGTATGGTGGTGATGGCGGTGGCGGTGGTATGGTGCTGATGGCGGTGGCGGTGGTATGGTGGTGATGGCGGTTGCGGTGGTATGGTGGTGATGGCGGTGGCGGTGGTATGGTGGTAGTGATGGCGGCGATGGTGGTTGTGGTGGTATGGTGGTGGTGGCGGTGGTAGCGGCGACGGTGGTTGCAGTGGTATGGTGGTGGTGGTGGTGGTGGTGGCGGCGACGGTGGTTGCGGTGGTATGGTGGCGGTGGTTGCGGTGGTATGGTGGTGATGGCGGCGGCGGCGGCGGTGGTATGGTGGTAGTGGTGGCGGCGACGGTGGTTGCGGTGGTATGGTGGTGGTGGTGGCGGCGACGGTGGTGTGAAGGTGGTGGTGTGGTGGTGGTGGCAGTGGTGGTGGCAGTGGTATGATGGTGATGGCGGCGACGGTGGTTGCGGTGGTATGGTGGTGGTGGCGGCGACGGTGTGATGGCGGTGGTGTGGTGGTGGTGGCGGTGGTATGGTGGTGATGGCGGTGGCGGTGGTATGGTGGTGATGGCGGTGACGGTGGTATGGTGGTAGTGGTGGCGGCGATGGTGGTTGTGGTGGTATGGTGGTGGTGGCGGTGGTAGCGGCGACGGTGGTTGCAGTGGTATGGTGGTGGTGGTGGCGGCGACGGTGGTTGCGGTGGTATGGTGGTGATGGCGGCGGCGATGGTATGGTGGTAGTGGTGGCGGTGACGGTGGTTGCGGTGGTATGGTGGTGGTGGTGGCGGCGGCGGTGGTGTGAAGGTGGTGGTGTGGTGGTGGTGTGGTGGAAGTGGTGTGGTGGTGGTGGCGGTGGTATGGTGGTGATGGCGGCGATGGTGGTTGTGGTGGTATGGTGGTGGTGGCGGTGGTAGCGGCGACGGTGGTTGTAGTGGTATGGTAGTAGTGGTGGTGGTGGCGGCGATGGTGGTTGCGGTGGTATGGTGGTGATGGGGGCGGCGGTGGTATGGTGGTAGTGGTGGCGGCGACAGTGGTTGCGGTGGTATGGTGGTGGTGGTGGCGGCGGCGGTGGTGTGAAGGTGGTGGTGTGGTGGCGGTGGTATGTGGTGGTGGTGGCGGCGGCGATGGTGGCGGTGGTATGGTGGTGGTGGTGGTGGTGGTAGTGGTAGTGGTTGCGGTGTTGGTGGTGGTTGTGGTGGTGGTGTGATGGTGGCGGGGGTATAGTGGTGGTGGCGGCGGCAATAGTGGTGGTGATGGTGGTATGGTGTTGATGATGTTGGTGGTGGTGTGATGTTGGTGTAAAAGTTGGAAAATGACTTCCCCCCAAAAAAAGGGGAAGTCATTTTCCTCCAAAACAAGCCTATTTTCCAAAGTCAACGGAAAATGATTTCCGTTGACTTGATTTTCCAGGCACATCCAAACACTGAAAACTTGGAAAATGATTTCCAGAACTCATTTTCCAGGTTTCCAAACACACCCCTAATGGAGTTGAAGCTGTTTATGGATTATCGGGAGAGGATTGAAAGATGTATTAATGGCTTAATGCAGAGAGAAGCTAATTTATCGGGATTGTGAGTCTTTCAGGGAGAACTGGGAGGTTAAATAAAAAAATAAATAATAAATACAAATAAAGCGGGCGCTTAACATACATTGATTGTAATGAATACTAATATACAAACAAATATCACCCACATTTACAAGTGGCTTATGGTCCACTGGTATCTGGTTGGTCCCTTATGTGAGGGATCTGAAGTTTGAGCTTCCTAATAGGCGTAGATTGTGTAAAAAATATGTCCAAGTAGTGTCCAACAAACACATGCACATACTAACCATTTTACGTACTTGTGTTATTGTTTGGACAAACACATGCACATACTCACCATTTTACGTACTCGTGTTATTGTTTTTATTTTTATTCTTTTGAGTACTACTGATTCTACTGATGAACCACAAAAAATCAATACCGTGTTATTGTTTTTATTTTTATTCTTTTGAGTACTACTGATTCTACTGATGAATCACAAAAAATCAATATCGTCACCATTGGACCTCAAATCCATGATATCTCATTTAGAAGACTCATGCCACTAGACTACAAGGTCATTGACTTATTATTATTATTATTATTATTATTATTATTATTATTATTATATACCAACAACAACAACAAAATCTATAATTAGAATTAAATTTGAAAGTGTGCACAATTAGATTTGAAACATACCTATAGGACACTAGAGCCCAAACCATGCCAAACAACCAAGCATAAGAGTTGGGATTCTTGGCAAGTTTCAAGGAGACAACCTTTATCAATGTCCCAAACGATGTCTTATTCCTCACATTCATAACAACTCTTGTTGTTATGACGGCGTCATCAGCATTCCCACCCGCCGCCAATTCTACATCTCCTCCCATTCCCGCGGAATTCTCGACATTCTCGTCCACGCCGTTCCCAATGTCGGGGGACGAGGTTTCCGTCAACCTCGTACGCCGGAACTCCAACCCGAACAGCAAGAAAGTGAGCCACAGCGCCGCCTGAATCACGGCGGACTGGACCACAATGTCGAACCCCAAGTCGCCGTACATGGCCTGCAGCAGCGGCACGCCAACGACGAGGGTGTTGTTCAGCGTCGACAGAGAGAAGGTGGTCAACGACCAGTCAAACCCCCCTTTCCTGGCGCAGTTAGCCCAGGCGACGAGGACGGCGGCCACGGCGGATTTGGCCACGGCGTCGGACGCCAGGAAACGGTAGTTCATCGTGTAGGGGTTGACCTGGGAAATGAAGCGGAAGTTGAAGAATGGGATGATGAAGTAGCAGTTGAAACGGTTTATGGCGGCGCAGTTTTCCGGTTTGAACATGTTCCACCACCGTATGGAGGCGTAGCCCAAGAACAGCGCCATATATAGCGGCGCCATGGCCTCCACCACCTTATACACATCCCCCCACCCTATCATTTTCCTATAATTTTTGAGTGTGTTTATTTTGTTCCCTTGGTATATAGTATATATACTGTTATGGGGAATATATGCCATGCCCAAATTGTTGTGCCACACAAAAAACTTGTAACAGGACAATCAGACCAAGTTGGACTTGGTAACCACAATGTTACAAATTCAACTTCCAACAAAAAATATATATATCATTACGTAAACATTAAGTCATAGACTATTATTTTTACAATTTAACACCACAGAGTATCATATTTTACACACTTTTAATCCGATAAGTAACTTTTTTGGTGAAATTTTGTTTTAGACAATAATACTTTTGTCTCATCACCTTTTTTCGTACTTTTATGGTTTTAATTCACATGTGCTTTTCCATGAAAACCTTTAATTTATTTATTACTTGCTTGAATTTTGTATGTTCAAGTTGCAAATTGTACTGTGCCAGTGTAAATTATATTAGTTAGTATTCAATCTCACCAAGTTAGACTTGGTAATAACTATAATGTTACAAATTTGATTCCTAACAAGCATAACCATATATTTAGTCACAATCTCACAGGCTATTATTTTTGTCATTTAACACCACACAGTATCATATTTTGCACATTTTTGGTCCTATCGGTAACCTTTTTGTCGAAACTCTATTTTAGACAAAGATATTTTTGTCTCATTACCTTTTTTCATACTATTATGGTTTTGCTTTATATGTGCTTTTTCATGAAAACCTTTAATTTATTTATTACTTGCTTGAATTTTTTTCATGTGTATATATCTTCAAGTTGCAAATGGTATTGTGCAAGTATAAATTATATTAATTAGTACTCAATTTGTTAATACTGTTAAAATTTTTAGCTAAAATGGCAATTTTGAGTGGCTATTATGTGATACAAATATATGTGGGATCTATTTCTGATTTGGTTAGTGTCAAAGTGAATTCGGGTTCATCGCTGCAGACTAAGAGATTGATATATTGTACTCTCAAAATGAATAATAGGTGAAAGAGAAATTGGTTAGCAAAGTAAACCTATTTGAGACACGTTGCTAATCTGTATCACATTTCGAAAGGTAGAAGATATAGCTTAAGTATGATTAAGCTTTAAAGAAAGCTGTACTCAAAAAAATAAATAAATAAATAAAGATAGCTTATGTACGAAAGGTTCCCTCATTAGCATTAATGTAAAGCTTTGATTTAGTGCTAATAGTAATACTTTCTGAAGCACCGAATAGTGCTTAGCACCGAATGGTGCTTTAGAACTGGCAGCACCGTATGGTACTCTAATCATTCGATCAGTTCCGAAACATTAATCTTTCAATTTTACAGACTTCTCGACTACTCAGATGTTTTATAAACAGGTCATTATGGTCGGTGTAAATTAATTATTAATTATATATTAATTTCGTAACCGTTGATATTATTTCGACAATAAGTATTATTGTTTCAAACATTTTTATTTAATTATTAAATTGAATTTATGTGTCGTTCATTATGCTATTAACTCCTCTTTCTTCTATAAAAACATAGGTGTTAGGCAAAAGTTGGTAGCTTATTTTTGAACTAGTAAAATCATTAGCGGCGCAATGGCCTCCACCACCTTATACACATGGGCAAATTATATCGTGCACCGCGGTGCATAATCGATTATGCACCGCGCGTCAGAACGATGTCGTTTTATTTAATGAAAAGAAACGTCATCTGTTTCGTGTCGTTCCGCGTCATTCCGCAAAAAGTAACTCTGTTATTCAGTTTCATTTTGTATACACTGTAGTTTCATTTCGATATAACTACAGTTTCATTTCAATATAACTACAGTTTCATTCGATATTATAACACCCAAATATGTAAAAAAGTTATGTAATTTTATTTTATATACACCACAGTTTCATTAAAACACAACTGCATGATCATTTCGATATAACTACAACTTCATTACACAATATACACTCAAAAATGTGAAATGTTATTCAGTTTCATTTTATATAAGTGCAGTTTCATTTCAACACACCTACAGTTTCATTTCAATTCAATTGCATTTTCAGTTGATAATATAAAAATAATACGTGAGGCAGTGTCAGTTTAGATACAATGTAGTTTCATTTCAACACAACTACAGTTTCACTTCAATTGAATTGCAGTTTCATTTGATAATATATAAAATAATACGTGAGGCAATATCGATTTAAATACATTGTAGTGTCAGTTGATAATTAATACACCAAATATGCGCGCTCCGTTAATTATAACGGCCCCGCTATTTCTTTACTTAAAGAAACGGCGCCGTTTTGACTACGGTGCACTTGCACCGCGGTCCACAATATAACGACTGATACACATCCCCCCACCCTACCATTTCCTATAATTTTTGAGTGTGTTTATTTTGTTCCCTTGGTATAGTATATATATACTGTTATGGGGAATATATGCCAAGCCCAAATTCTTGTGCCACACAAAAAACTTGTAACAGGACAACCACATACATCAAGTTGGACTTGGTAACCACAATGTTACAAATTCAACTTCCAACAAAAATTATATATCATTACATAAACATTAAGTCACAAACTATTATTTTTGCAATTTAACACCATAGAGTATCATATTTTGCACACTTTTAGTCATATCGATACTTTTTTCGGCTAAACTTTGTTTTAGGCAATGATACTTTTGTCTCATCACCTTTTTTCGTACTTTTCTGGTTTTAATTTATGTGTACTTTTCCATGAAAACCTTTAATCTATTTATTACTTGCTTGAATTTTTTATGTTCAAGTTGCAAATTGTACTATGCGAGTGTAAATTATATTAGTTAGTATTCAATCTCACCAAGTTAGACATAGTAATAATTACAATGTTACAAATTTGAATTCCAACAAGAACCATATATCATTACACAATTAGTCACAATCTTACAGACTATTATTTTTGTCATTTAACACCACAAAGTATCATATTTTACATATTTTTATCCTACGAGTAACTTTTTCGGCGAAACTCTATTTCAGACAAAAATATTTTTATCTCATCACCTTTTTTCATACTTTTATGGTTTTTGCTTTATATGTGCTTTTTCATGAAAACCTTTAATTTATTTATTACTTGCTTGAATTTTTTTCATGTGTATATATGTTCAAGTTGCAAATGGAATTGTGCAAGTGTAAATTATATTAATTAGTATTCAATTTGTTAATACTATTGGAATTTTTAGCTAAAATGGCAATTTTGAGTAGCTATTTTGAGGTACAAATATACACTACTGGAAAATATGGAATTTCCGACCACCTGAAAGTGATCTGAAATTAATTCGAAAGCAAAAAGTGGTCGGAAATAGCAATAAAGGTTTTTCCGGATACCAAAAGTAGTCGGAACAAGGCTTTCGACTTGATTTAAGATCACTTTCAGGTGGTCGTAAATTTCATAATTTCTAGCAGTAATATGTGGATCTACTTCTGATTTGGTTAGTGTCAAAGTGAATTCACAGTTTTTCGTTATGCGAAACTAAGAGATTGATATATTGTACTCTCAAAATGAGTAATAGGTGAATGATAAATTAATTATCATAGTCAACTGTTTGAGAAAAGTCAAAATTTGAATAGTGCTAATTTGTAGCACATTCCTAAAGGTAAGAGATATTAAGCTCAAGTATGATTAAGCTTTAAAGAAAGATGTACTAACAAATAATAATAATAATAATAATAATAATAATAATAATAATAATAATAATAATAATAATAACAATAACAATAACAATAAGGGAGAAGTATCAAATAGGTTCATGTACTATTGTCAAGTGCTCAATTCTCCCCATGAACTAAATTAAAGGCTAATTAACCACACTTACCTACTAAATGTGTTCAATTAGCTTTTTTTGCAGGTAATTGACTTTTTTTTTTTGCAGGTTACCAATTCAATTATTAAAAAAATAATTTCAAAATAATTTAAAAATTATTAAAAAAAGAAGAAGAAAAAAGAATAGCCACCGGCTGTCCGGCGAGGACAGCCGGTGGCTGTATTCATTTTTTTTTAATATTTTATTTTATTTTATTTATTTTAATAATTAACTAGGTAACTTGTTATTAACCTGTAAAAAAAAGAGAATTGAACAAATTTAACTCGTAGATGGACCTATTTGACACTTAATTTAGTTCGTGGTGGAAATTGAGCACTTCGCAGTAGTAGATGGGCCTATTTGACACTTGTGCCTAATAATAATAATAATAATAATAATAATAATAATAATAATAATAATAATAATAATAATAATAATAATAATAATAATAATAATAATAATAATAATAATAATAATAATAATAATAATAATAATAATAATAATAATAATAATAATAATAATAATAATAATAATAATAATAATAATAATAATAATAATAATAATAAAATAATAAAAAAAAAAAAAAATAATAATAATAAAAAAAATAAAAAAAATAATAATAATAATAATAATAATAATAAAAATAATAATAATAATAATAATAATAATAATAATAATAATAATAATAATAATAATAATAATAATAATAATAATAATAATAATAATAATAATAATAATAATAATAATAATAATAATAATAATAATAATAATAATAATAATAATAATAATAATAATAATAATAATAATAATAATAATAATAATAATAATAATAATAATAATAATAATAATAATAATAATAATAATAATAATAATAATAATAATAATAATAATAATAAATAATAATAATAATAATAATAATAATAATAAATAATAATAATAATAATAATAATAATAATAATAATAATAATAATAATAATAATAATAATAATAATAATAATAATAATAATAATAATAAATAATAATAATAATAATAATAATAATAATAATAATAATAATAATAATAATAATAATTAATAATAATAATAATAATAATAATAATAATAATAATAATAATAATAATAATAATAATAATAATAATAATAATAATAATAATAATAATAATAATAATAATAATAATAATAATAATAATAATAATAATAATAATAATAATAATAATAAT